GAGTCCCAATCTCTCCACATCCTAGCCAGTATTTGTTATTTTGTGTCTTGTTGAACTTTGCTACTAGTGCTGGAACAAGATGGTATCTCATTATTGTTTTGATTTGCATCTCTCTAGTAGCTAATGATAGTAAACATTTCTTCATATGTTTGTTGGCTGCTTGAATATCCTCCTTGGTGAAGTGTCTATTCATGTTGAAGCCAGGTTTTAAAGAAATGGCATCTTAACTAAAAATATGGAGTCAGGCCTCCTAAGAATAAATCTTCAAGCCTTACACTGTGGTTGTGAACAGGTTTCATTCAGGCTTCCAGACTAAGACAGACTAGAAAGAAAGGCCTGGTGATCTATTTCTGAGAAGTCAGCCAGTGAAAACCCTGTGGATCACAGTGGTCCAATCCTGTTGTGCATGGGGTCTCCATGAGTCGAGGACTAACTCAACAGCCGGTAACACAGAGGAAAAGCCTGAGGTTCAGAGAGGTTAAGTAATTTGCCCAAGGCAACACAGCTCAGATGTGTTGGCTCAAACCCAGGCCTGTGTGACTTCAAAGCTTGAGCTAGGACTATGGTAGAGACTCCTCTTTTGATCTCTTAGAGAAAACAGCCTTCCTGCTGTTTGTTATGACCTGCTCTGGGTCATAAACGCATACAAAGTGTTATATCTACGTACATCCATTCAACTCTAAATCCCAAAAGTTCTCACCCTCTGGCTTTCCGGTGGGTGAGGTTTGGGTAGACTCCAGGGTGTGAAGCCAGTGCTGAGCATGTCTGTATTATGTCTCATATTTCTGAGTTAGCATTTATGCTCCTGAGGCTTCTACCCACCCTTGTCTTCTCAGTTGCCATTTCCCAGGCCTGACAGTCCCTGCCAGTGGCTCCCCTGTCAACTGCTATCCATCTCCACAGAAGAACTCACTCTTTCCCATACCACACTGATAAGGCCCTTTGCCTGTTGAGCCTGTGGAATGTCTGTGTAACAGATGCCTCAACAGGCTAAACATTTCCTTTCTGCCCTGTTGCTGTGACTTCCTCTTAGCATTTACCCCTTCAGTGTATAGTTTAATGAGGAGATAAATATTAACCCTTGAGGAAATGCAGAGTGTGATCTGTGATGAGGTGTGTGTGTCTATAGCTTCTGTCTTCTGTAGGTGAATGTCATTTTTATATGACTCTTTGGCCACAGAAAAGTGATAAATATCAAAGGAGAAGCAATAGAATGGAAAATACAATGAAATACCATCAGTAAAATTATAGCTGCAATATACTTTTCAAATTTGATGGAAATGCATGTCTCACTTGTTAAGCAATCACAGTGGAGGAGCAAGTAATTCCCATGAGGGCAAAGCAGTAAATCATCATAAGGAAGCATGCTGTCTGCTATCTGGGAAAGCAGTGCCATGTAAAACACTCCTTGAGATAGGACCATAGTCTCATGGGACATCTCAGTTAATTGGCATAATATAGTTTATAATGTTACGTTCTACGTGATTGTTGAGTGAGTAACATCTGGGGCCTTAAAAATTTGTGAGTGGCCATCTAAGATACAACTATTGGTCTCTACTTGTCCAGAGGAAAAGAGAAGGAAACCAAAGGCTGAGAGACGAAACTAGTTGACAGGATTCACAGTCTACACGAACCACAGCCTGAGACCAGAAGAACTAGATGGTGCCAGCTGCCAGTACTGACTGATCTAATTAGGGGCATAATAGATGGACCCTGATGGAATGGGAGAAAAATATGGATCAGAAACTTAATTTTGTTTATTTATTTTTTAAAGGGCAAAAAGCCCCAGACCTACGGGATTGGTTGAGGCTGGAATACTCCCTGAAACTGTTGCTCTGAGATGCTCTTCAAACCCTGAACCAAAATTAACCCAAAGTTGCCGTGTAGCTAAATAACAGACTGGCTCACAAAATAATGAATATCAACTGTGTGTACTGTGCTCCCTTAAAAGTCACCTGCATGAGACTGAACAGTCAGCAATCAATTTAAAACAAAGATGAGAAAGTCAGAGTGCAGGGAAACTAGATGAATGGAAACAGAACAGCCAGAATGGAAATAATGAGAAAGTTTATGCATTGTGAAGGATGTAACCAACGTCAATGAACAACTTGTATAGAAATTGCTGAATGGGAACCTAAAGTGCTGTGTCAAGCTTCACTGAAAACACAATTGAATATTGTTAAAAAACAAAATAACCCTTGATAGATTAGGTGGGGTGCTTGCTTGTGCATAAAGGCAACAGAATTCTGGGAACTACTTTTAGGGGCCAGTTTAGGTAGGGAGCTGTGTTTAAACTCTCGCTTCCATTGAGTCAATTCTGACTTGGAGAGACTCTGTAGGACAGAGTAGAACTGCCCCATAGGGTTTCTAAGGCTGTAAATCTTTACAGAAACAGACTGCCACGTTGTTCTCTCACAGAGTGGCTGTTGGGTTTAAACCTGAGATTTTTTGGTTAGCAGTCAAATGCTTTATATACCACACCACCAGAGCTCTCAGGAGCCATTTAGGGAATGATAACAACTGAGCTCCTGCTGTGTGCCTGTGAGGTACTCATGTGCACTGTTTCCTTCAGCATTCCTGAAAGATAACAGAACCAGTCCCCAGTGTGGTGTGACAAGTGCCATCTGGTAATTGTTTGTAGGACTGTGCTCCATGTGTTTCAGTGGGTGATTTTTCAGAAGTAGATCACCAGGCCTTTCATCTGAAGTCCTCTGGTGGATTTGAACCTCCAGCCTTTCTTTTTGCAGCCGAGTGCTTTAACCATTTACACTACCCAAGGAGGAGCTCTGGTGGTGTAGCATCTAAGGCATTTGATTGCTAACCAGAAGGCTGGCAGTTCAAACCCACCAGCCACTCAGAAGGAAGGTTGGACAGTCTGCTTCCATAGCAATTCCACCTTGGAAACCCAAGGAGGGCTCTCTATGAGTCAGATCCTACTCCACGGCAGTGGTTGTGTTTGCTTTTGTGTTACTACCCACGACTCCCTCCTGAAAGGTAGATTGGTCTTATTGCCATTTAACAACTAACTAAGGGCAAAGAAATTAAGTGATGGGGGATATGTTGCCTTGGGCAAGTTGCTTAACTTCTCTGAGCCTTAATTTCCCTATCTGCTGAATTCAGTCTGAAGACACTTGACCATAAACTCCATGAGGTCAAGAACTATTAAGTCCTCTGCCCCACCCCTGAGAGAACAAACAGCATGTTCTTGGAGAACCTGCAATTCCTGCAGGCCCAGCAGCATCTCCAGTCCTAACCTGGCCTGTGACCCCCCTGGCTGGTGTCCTTGGGTCCCCAACAACAACAAAAAACAAGCAAACAAAAGGAAGACCTGGTTCTGGGTGACTATCTAGGAACTGCCAATCACCCACCTTGAGTCAAGACTTGAGAGAAGTTAAAACCTCCATGCTATCTTACGTATTCATTTGTCTCTTTAGTTGGGAGCTCTGGTAGCGTAGTGCCTAAGGCACTTGACTGCTAACTAGAAGGCTGGCGGTTCAAACCCACCAGCCACTCCTCGGAAGGAAGGTTGGGCAATCTACTTCCGTAGTAATACTGCCTCGGAAACCCAAGGAGGGGGTCACTATGAGTTGGGTCCAACTTGACGGCACATAACAACAACAACAATTTATACCTATTCATGTAGCAGAAGTAGGTTTCCTGGGTGGTGCAGATGGTTTGCTCTGTTCTACTAACCTAAAGGTTAGCAGTTCGAACCTACTCAGCAGTGCATGGAAGAAAGGCCTAGAAATCTGCTTCCATGAAGATTACAGCCAAAAATACCACTATGGGGCAGTTTTGCTCTGTAATATATGGGTGCTTATTGGTCAGAACTAACTTTATGGCAATAGGTGGTTGTTTTTACTAAAAACTCAAAACCAAACTCAACTGCTGTTGAGTCAACTCCGACTCATAGTGACCACTCCTTAGGTTTCTGAGGCGTTATCACTATGGAAGTAGATTGCCCAATCTTCCTTCCGAGGAGTGGCTGGTGAGTTTGAACCGCCAGCCTCCTGGTCAGCAGTCAAGTGCCTTGGGCACTACGCCACCAGAGCTCCTTAGCAAAAATAAGTCCAATATTAAACTCATTGTTAGTAGAAACAGCATTGTTTGCATATTTCTAGAATTGTAAATGGTTTAATCTTTTTAAAGGACAAAGTGGTAAAATACTGCAAGTTACTATTGTTCATGTACTGACCAGGAATTCTATATATTGAAATAGGACTCAAGGAAAAACCTCATACAATTCGAGAGTGATTTGTAGAAAGATATTCACAATGATGCCATTTATAGTTCCAAGGATTGGAAACAACCGAAATACCCAAAATGGAGGAATAGCTAAACAAACAGGTTTACAGCATTGCTAATGTAAGATTAAGATGAGCATCCGTGTAAATGTTTTAAAAGATAGCCATGTTGCCTCTTTCAATACATGGAAACATTTATGTAAAGTAGTCAGGCATAAGAAGCAGAATGTTCCATCCATGTGTATACACTGATGAAGGTGAAAGGAAATTTGGAATAAGTTTAATAATTTATTATTTCATATTATTTTCACTTTCTTTTTAAAGGGGGGATTGCTATGCACTTGTCATGAGACTTGATTACTTTTCCATGTTTTTGTGAGCAGGCATGCCGTTGCTCATGTAGATGGTGAGAACCTGGCTTTACTGAAGGGTGTTTTCTAACGTTGGGAGTCTCTGGGCAATGCAGACAGATATTGGGTACTAACCAAAAGGTTGGTGGTTCAAACCTACCCAGAGGCACCTCAGAAGAAAGGCCTGGTGACCGGCTTCTGAAAGGTCACAACCGTGAAAACCCAGTGGAGCACAGTTCTACTCTGTAACACATGCGGTTGCCATGAATCAGAATTGATAGCAACTTTGTTTTTGTTTTCTTTTATAACTTTTACTACTGTTCTTTGTCCAACTCAAGATGGAAACCTGCACAGAAAGAGCTGGGCTCTTTGCTTCCTGTTCACAGCTTCTCCCCTTGCTTTCTAGGAAGATCAGCCCATCTACATGGCAGTGAAGGGAGTGGTGTTTGATGTCACTTCTGGAAAGGGTAAGTAGCTTGGCTTTCACATTCTTATTTCTGGGGAGCTGAGGAGCCAGACTGGAGACTGGAGGGCTGAGGAAAGGGAGGCAACATTGGGCAAGTCCTTGTCCTTCCATCTTAAATAACCAAGTTGAGTTGACAGTCTGTCAGTGTTTTACTTCAACTTATTTTGCTAATAGTGCCATGCTCCTATACAGAAGCCTTTGTGGCTTCCCATTGCCTATAGAATCTCACTCAAACTTGATCATTTGCCCATTGAAGCAGTGAATAAACAAATGTTACTCCTTCAGGTGGGAGCCCTGGTGGTGCAAATAGTTAAGTGCTCAGCTGCTAACCAAGAAGTTAGTGGTTCAAACCCACAGAGCTGCTCCATGGGAGAAGGACCTGGCTATTTGCTCCCATGAAAATTCCTGCTGCCATGGAGTTGATACCAACTCATAGCGACCCCCAATGGGTTTCTCCATCAATAAATCTTTATGGAAGTAGATTGCCCCATCTTTCTTCTGCAGAGTGGTGGTGGGTTTGAGCCAACAACTTTCTGGGTAGCAGTCAAATGCCCCAAAAAGGTTACAGCCTAGAAAACCGTAGGGGGCAGTCCTGCTCTGTCTCATGGGGTCACTGTGAGACAAAATAGACTGGTTTGCCCCTAACAGCAACTCCTTTAGGCAATCAGGGTGCTTTTAAAGGAGAAGGTTGAGCAACCCAGCCCTAGACTCTCTCTCTCTTTCCTTTATTACCAGATTTAAACTATTGCAAAATTATATTTTCAGTCAAGTATACTCTTGAGTGACATGACAAACAGAAATATATGCCTCAAAAAAAGAAGATAAAGGTATACTTTGTTAGTATTACATAACAAAAAAATCAGCATCATGGAACATCATAGTGAGAATATATGCAGGAAAACATATACCAATTTTAAGTTTGTATGTGTGCAATTCAGTGCATTGATTACATTCTTCAAGTTGTTCCTCCATCTTTAACATAAAGTTACTGCCCCCTAAGGTTCCTATCTCATCTTCTGAGTTGCTGTTGTCAGTTTGATTCCATAGAGATAGTTCTTAAAATAACATAATACTCAAGGCAGACTTTTTGTACTAGTTAAGCCGAACTAAACTATTGTTTGGCTTTAAGAAGTTTTCAGGGTATATTTTTGGTTTGAAGTTTAAAGATTATCTCGGGGCAGTGGTTTCAGGGGTGCATCCACCCAAGCATTCTTAATTGTTTTAAAAGACAATTTTCATCCTGTATTTTCTAAAACTCAACTCTCAGCCCAGCTTGTGTGAATTACTCCATATTCTGAATTAGTGGAATCCAAACTAATGGATGGAGGTAGGTTAGTGCACTTTTTGCCCTCACTGCTTTCCTGCCCCTTGTGCCTGGAATCTTTTTGAGGGTTGGTTGAGTCTTGGGAGGTCCCCATCCTCCCAGTTTGCAGTCTCCTGGCTGTTCTACATGCAGGTCCACACTCACTTCCTCTCCCTCCCTCCTCATACAGAGTTTTATGGAAGAGGAGCCCCCTACAATGCCTTGACTGGGAAAGACTCCACCAGAGGGGTGGCCAAGATGTCCCTGGATCCTGCAGACCTCACCCATGACATTGTGAGCCAGAGTACAAGTCGTTTTCAATATGTCCCAACCCTCAGTCATGGCCTTCTTTACCTCTGGCAATGGCAAAGCTTCCTAACTAGCCTGTTTCTACTCCAGTCCACTCAGTGGGGTGGCCAACCATATTCTGAACATAGAAATCCTACTGTGCCTCTCCTACTCAGAAACCTCCTATGGCTCCCATTGCCTACAGACTCAAGTCCAGTTACTTGTGAACTTGTGATCCAACTCAGTGATCTTCACCCTTTGGCTCCAACCTGATCTCCCTTGCAGCCCCGCCCACAGCAACAAGTGATGAAGCTACCACCCAGCCTCTTGCAGGTTTCGTGGCAGTCCCCAGTTCAGTGGATGAAGTTAGGTTGGGGAAGCAGTATTCCCTCTGAATGAAAAACTAGTGTCAAATACAGCCACTTCCAGATCTAAGTAATCCCAGCAGAAAGGCTGGTGTACACTTCCACTGTGCTCAGCACCACTAGGCAGAGCTGATCAAACTCTTAAGGTACAACATTACAGGAAGGAATTGAGAAAGGAAAGGGTGTGTGTTTGTAATGGGAGATGCATACAGAGGGGTGGGATTAGCCAGGAAGGAGGGGGCGGCCACAGGCTGCAGCAGAGCACCCCCATGGGTGTTGACTGAGGGTCTGTATGACCTATGTCAGTTGGACAGCAGCAGATGGTGACGCCATTGCTCCCCCGCCCCCTCCCAATTCAGGGCTGCCTTTTACAAGGTCAGTTGTCCATTATTTCCTTTGCTGAGGTATTTTCTTGCTCTTGCATTCAGGGCGTGTTAAGGACAAGGAGGGGATGGAGGGAGGCCAGGGCCAAACACGGGTCACTCACCCCCCACCCAGTATTTCTGGGGCTTTTCTCCTCTAGACGGGGCTCACGGCCAAGGAACTGGAGTCTCTGGATGACATCTTCACCAGAGTGTACAAGGCTAAATATCCCATCATCGGCTACACAGCCCGCAGGATCCTTAACGAGGACGGCAGCCCCAACCTGGACTTCAAGCCTGAAGACCAGCCCCATTTTGACATAAAGGACGAGTTCTGATGTCTTTCTGCAGGGTCAGGGTCTTTGGAGGGTGGGGCATGGGGACATCCAGATGTTAAGTCTGCAAAATCTGCTTCCTGAAGCCTCTGAATTGCCAAGATCTGAATAAAAGAGATGTTTAACCTGTAACCGGGACTGGTTTTTATTGTCATAGTCAGGTTTTCTATCCACCTGGTAACCAGCCCACACACCAGCCAGAGAGGTAATAATAACCCTTTTCTGGCCAGAAGTGGGGGCCTCCCAAATGTCAACGTGGCTGTCAGTGTGGTGGAATAATGAGTGACTTTTGTTTCTTTATGTTTCTATATTTTCTACTGTGACTATGTTTACTTTATAAGAACAAAAATAAAACTCTCAAGGTTATCTATTTATGCTTTTCAGTGCTTTTCAGATTTTATCCAATGAGCCAGTATAACTTCTCTAATTAGAAATGTACATTATTGCTGTTAATGCGCACTTCCACTTTCATATTCTTCCTTTATGAGTTGCCTTCCATCTCTTCTATCTCCCTGGCTCTTGGAGAGACTGAGTGGGGCAGGGCTGGCCTGTGGTGACACCTGCCCACCTCCCTGCCCACTGGGGCAGTTCTTAGGCAATGGGACGCCTCTAGAGCAGTACGGGTGCCTCCTTCCTCCTTGCTGGGGACACCTCAGGTGAAGGCTGGGCTCAAGCCTGCCACGGAAGGTGCTCACTTTCTGCTCAGCTAATCCAGCTTGGAGCATCACTTGCTGAGCCACTACGGGGAACCCAGCTGAGGGTTAGCAGCATCTTCCTCCCCCTCCCCTTCCTCCTCTCCCCTTGGAGGAGACTGCAGATCCTGATCTGGGCCATAGCACAGTCTGAGAGAGCTCTGTGTGTCTGTGCACATGTGTGTTTGTGCGGGGGGCTGGACCAGGTTCCACAAGGCCAAGCCAAAGCTGGTACACAGTTCATCCCGTCAACAAGTACACACTACACCTATGTTAGGTACTATACCAGGTGCTGGGGTACAGCCATAAGTTAGACCTGGCCGTCTCCTTAGGAAACTCATGCTCTAGGGGGATGTTCACATAGACAGTTACAACCCCATGGGGTGCAGTGTTAGAACGTGCACACAACATCATGAACACACAGAGAAGGGGCATCAAGCCTGAGCCCCCAGCACAGACACTCACCTGGGGTGACCAGCCATCCTGGTTTGCCTAGGACTTTTCCAATTTGAGCATTGAAAGTCCTGCATCCCAGGGAATCCCCCAACCTGGGCTAACCTGAGGGACTGAACTGCACCAGAAGCCTCCAGCTGAGGGATCCAGCACACCCAGGCCAGGCGCTGCCTCAAGGTCATAAAGGAAGAGAGGAGCTGAGAAGGAGAAGAAAGACTGAAGGAAGAGTGATGGGAGAGGAGAAGGGGATTGAGCTCTTAACCAGTCACCATACAAATCACCATAGAAGTCCTCAGCAGAGGATCCTGACCAGAAACCCAGGTCCCCAGACCAGGGGTCATACAGACCTCGTTTGTCCCAGCTTCCTGCCTTCTCCCAACCCTCCAGGATCCTGAAGACCTCCAGACTCAGAAATCTCATCCCCTCAGACACCTGTGCCAGAGGGTTTCACAACCACATTGGTAGCTTTCAGGAGAAAATCTAGGAATCTTAATGAATCCCCCTTAGCCTCTACATTAAGAAGAAACCAGTTGCCATCAAGCTGCCCCGAACTCATGACGATCTTGTCTGTGTCAGAGTAGAATTGTGCTCCATGGGGTTTTCGACAGTTGATGTGTCAAGAGATTGCAGGGTCTCTCTTCTGAGCCCTGCTATGGATGGCTTCAAACTTCCAACCTTTTGTTTTCTAGCCAAGTGTGTTCACTGCACCAACCAGGGACTCCAGACTACATTGGCTTCATTTAAAAGGCTGGTTTTTCAGCTCCAGTCTCTAACAAGTGCTGCCAGGGCATTGCCAGCCTCCTGGGATGTTTCTCCAGAGCCTGACACTGACCCAGGCCTAGAGCACAATCCCCATGGGTGGCAAGTGTCCTGATCCACACCCTCCAAGATGATTCCCTCACCATCCAGGAAGAAATTCCTCCCACAGCCTCTGTCCAGGATCCCAGGTAATTATTGCCTGGAGAACTGTCTAACACTTGATGGTTGTCTTTTATACACCATTTCACAGCCCCTCAGCCTAGCACACACATAATCTCTCAGTGCCTGTCTTCAAGTTCTCTAGAGAATCGGAACCATAATATAGATGTATATATAGAAGAATGAACAAATCTGTCCTGGAGGAAGTGCAGTTGGAATGCTCCTTGGAAGTCAGATTGGCCAGACTTTGTCTCGCCTGCTTTGGTCATGTTGTCAGAAGGGACCATTCCCTGGAGAAGGATGTCATGTTGGTAAAGTGGAGGTCAGCAAAAAAGGGAAAGACCTTCAACGAGATTGATTGACACAGTGGCTTCAATGATGGGCTCAAGTATAGCAAGGACTGTGAGGATGGCACAGGACTGGGCAGTGTTTTGTTGTACATAAGGGCGCTATGAGTCAGAGCACACTCGATGACACCTAACAGCAACAGCAAGAGAGAGATTGATTTAGCGGGCTGGCAAATCCCAAATCCATACATCAGGCAA